CCCCCCATGAGGCTTTGTGCTGACAGATCAGAGCCTGGAGCCTGCTTCAGATTCTGTGTCGTCCTCTCTCTCTGCCCCTCCCCTGCTCATGCTCTGTGTCTCTCTCTCCATCAAAAGTAAACACTTAAAAAAAAAAAAGTGTATTCGGGACCTTTAAGATGATGCTTTACAGTAGAATCTACTAACACATGCCAGTTAGGAACAGGAAATGACTGATGAGTGACAGAAGCAGGTTTGCAACCGAGTGAAAATGTGAACACAGATATACAGTGTGCAGTACTTTTTTTTTTTTTTTTGTAAAAATTAACGAAAAAGATTCTAAATTGTTCAAGAAAATGTAAAACCAACTTTCTAGGAGCTGTAATGTGATGGGTTAGAGGTAAAAGGTTTCAGCTCTTTTGAAATCAGGCAGAATATGAAACAGAAACACTAAATTGGGTGAATGAACTATTCCCCCTCTTCCTTTACTTAGAATACTGAAAATGCAGGGGGACTGCTCTTTAAAGCTGGTTGACAATTCCCAGAGTGTTTTTATGTATCTTAACTCTATGCGCTAGCGTCTGTGCTGTTTGCACAGTATTTCCAGCTTCTGTAGAATTTTACATCCTCTTTGTGGTTGAATGGAGCTGAGTAACTAGTGCTGACCAGTGAGGTGGAAGTGTCTGAGTCACTTCTGGGCTGGGGCATTGCATTCCTGGTTTGGGATGCTCCATGCTCTCAGCTTCCACACAACTGCTGACAGTGTTCCTGCAAGGGCCGCCCCCCCCCCCCCGCCTCCCATCAGCCTCCTGGTTTGACCTTGGTGTGGCATGAATAAATGACCAAACCCTGTTGGCTTCAGGTGCTCAGATTAAGGAATTGTTACCTGAACGTCTGCCAGCCTATTACACAGCCTGATGCACAGATGAGTAAATCAGGTATAGGGCTGCGCATGAGTTTGTTGCCTAGATGACATAAGGTGCACTATTTCTTACACTCTTTGCCTTGCTCTCAGGACTCTCCCTCCAGAGCTAAACCTTTTTTTTTTTTTTTTTTAATATATGAAATTTATTGTCAAATTGGTTTCCATACAACACCCAGTGCTCATCCCAAAAGATGCCCTCTTCAATGCCCATCACCTACCCTTCCCTCCCTCCCACCCCCCATCAACCCTCAGTTCTCAGTTTTTAAGAGTCTCTTATGCTTTGGCTCTCTCCCACTCTAACCTCTTTTTTTTTTTTTTTTTCTTCCCCTTCCCCATGGGTTTCTGTTAAGTTTCTCAGGATCCACCTAAGAGTGAAAACATATGGTATCTGTCTTTCTCTGTATGGCTTATTTCACTTAGCATTACACTCCAGTTCCATCCACGTTGCTACAAAGGGCCATGTTTCATTCTTTCACATTGCCACGTAGTACTCCATTGTGTATATAAACCACAATTTCTTTATCCATTTATCAGTTGATGGACATTTAGGCTCTTTCCACAGTTTGGCTATTGTTGAGAGTGCTGCTATAAACATTGGGGTACAAGTGCCCCTATGCATCAGTACTCCTGTATCCCTTGGGTAAATTCCTAGTAGTGCTACGGCTGAGTCATAGGGTAGGTCTATTTTTAATTTTTTGAGGAACCTCCACACTGTTTTCCAGAGTGGCTGTACCAGTTTGCATTCCCACCAACAGTGCAACAGGGTTCCCATTTCTCCACATCCTCTCCAGCATCTATAGTCTCCTGATTTGTTCATTTTGGCCACTCTGACTGGCGTGAGGTGATATCTGAGTGTGGTTTTGATTTGTATTTCCCTGATGAGGAGCGACATTGAGCATCTTTTCATGTGCCTGTTGGCCATCTGGATGTCTTCTTTAGAGAAGTGTCTATTCGTGTTTTCTGCCCATTTCTTCACTGGATTATTTGTTTTTTTTGGGTGTGGAGTTTGGTGAGCTCTTTATAGATTTTGGGTACTAGCCCTATGTCCGATATGTCATTTGCAAATATCTTTTCCCATTCCGTTGGTTGCCTTTTAGTTTTGTTGATTGTTTCCTTTGCTGTGCAGAAGCTTTTTATCTTGATAAGGTCCCAGTAGTTCATTTTTGCTTTTAATTCCCTTGCCTTTGGGGATGTGTCAAGTAAGAAATTAATGTGGCTGAGGTCAGAGAGGTCTTTTCCTGCTTTCTTCTCTAGTGTTTTGATGGTTTCCTGTCTCACATTCAGGTCCTTTATCCATTTTATTTTTGTGAATGGTGTAAGAAAGTGGTCTAGTTTCATTCTTCTGGTTTTGTTTTTTTTTTTTTTTAATAATAAAGAAGAGGCAAGGTCTTTGCGTGAAAAGTGTCATCAATTCTGCTTTACCTCTTACGATACACCAAGATTCAGAACATCTCAACACGGGCCAACAAATTTATCTCTAATACCTAGCTTTGTCCTTAATACTCGTAAGTATAAGAGAGACACAAAAACCTACCACTGGTCTATAGTGCCTCTGTCTCTGGTAAAGAGATTTTTTTTTTTTTTTTTTTTTTAATCCCCAAGGCAATGAATCATGATTTGGGATGGGTGTGAAAGATACCTTTCTTTTGCAAACTGGGTGAAGGGTGTGTGGGAAAGAGTATGTGGAAAAGCAGAAGTAGCCTCACACACTTACAGAGGGCATGTCCTTAGGCAGCACAATACAATGGAAGCCCCTGCGTGGAAGTTGACAGTTGGGAGCTTGATTCCCTTAAAGCTATCATCGCCAACGTACCTGCGAGAACACCAGCTATCCCCGTGGGTGCACACACTCCAGAAATCCCCGTGGGTGCACACACTCCAGAAAGGCGCTGGTCAGTGAGTAAAGCAATCCATATGTAGGACAGTAGGGGGTGGTGGAGACTCTAGAACAAAGTGCTGCGTGTTTCTTGTTTCATCATTATTGAGTAAAATTCTATTGACCCATTTATTTATTTATTTATTTATTTATTTATTTTTTACATTTATTTATTTTTTGAGAGACAGCCTGAGCAGGGGAGGGGCAGAAAGACAGGGAGACACAGAATCTGAAGCAGACTCCAGGCTCTGAGCTGTCAGCACAGAGCCTGATGCGGGGCTCAAACTCAGGAGCTGCGAGATCATGACCTGAGCGGAAGTCGGACACTCAACTGACTGAGTCACCCAGATGCCCCTCTGTGGATCCATTTCTTGATTTCTGCAACTACAATTTTTAGCAGGCTTGTGTTTTGCTTCTAATGTGAACTAGTGAAATTCCAAAGCCTGACCTTAAAATGGAAGTCTTCATTATTCATAAAAGTACATCTAGAATCACTGAAGATGTTCCCTCTCCTTTACAGGTAGAGGGAGAGAGAACATTTTGCATCATAAACAGCTCAGTTTGATACGGTGTTAAAGGACATTCGCAGGAATATCAAGCTCGTTCTCTTGTCAAAATGGAGACTTGTGTGCATATTTTTTACTGTTACCAACTTGTTTTGTTCTCCATTAACTATGTCCCAAGGGTGCCTGGGTAGCTTAGTTGGTTAAGTGTCCAGCTCTTGATTTCTGCTCAGGTCATGATCTCAAGGTTCATGAGTTCAAGTCCCACATCGGGCTCCACACTGATAGCGAGAAGCCTGCTTGAGATTCTCTCTCTCCCTGTCTCTCTGCCCCTCCCCTGCTTGTACTCATAAATAAATAAGTAAATACATACATACATACATACATACATACATACATATATAAATAGTCCTTAGAAGTGTTATTGGGACAAATGGGTCTTTTAAGACTCCAAAGACTATAAATTTTGCAATGGCATACAAAATACTCAGACGGGACTCTGGGAACAGATGCTGGACAGAGTTTGGGGTGCAAGATGTTTATTAAGGATGAGCTCCTGTGAAAGGAAGAATGAAGAGGCAGGACTGGGCAGAGGAAGAAATCAGACTGCAATGAAAGCTTGATAGAGCCTAGACCAACCCACTGAGGAGCTCTGGAATAAGTACTGCTCACAAGCCTGTCCTGCTTTGGGCTGAAATGGCCTGTTTTGTTCAGGCAGGAGATGCTGGATGTTCCAGGAAGGGTAGGACTTTGTGGGGGGGGGGGGGGTGTCTCAGCAGGGGACAATTTGCCTTCTGCTGGGTTTTACATTCGTTTCCCTTCTCTGCCTTTGGGCCCCTCTCCCCAGTTGGATCCAATATTTTCTGTGTGTTTCCAGCACTGGATGGAATAAAAATAGAGTGAGCCCTTAGATAGGGGCAAGTGCTAGGGTCAGGGCACCCAACCCCCATAGGGAAATTGGAGACCTGGGCACCCACCTGGAGAAAGTATTGGGTGGTATCAGGCCTTGACCAGACCCAGCACTATGGCTTGGGGAACAGACAGGTAGGTGTCAATTTGGAGCACCCCAAGAACTATTCCTGTCATAGCTATTGACCAGAAATAAGGATAGACTGAAGTGCAAATTGTTCAAATGTTAGACTAGGCAGTTAGGTTCTTTTTTTTTTTTTTTTTTTTTTTTTTTTTTTTTTTAATTTTTTTTTCAACGTTTATTTATTTTGGGGACAGAGAGAGAGCATGAACGGGGGAGGGGCAGAGAGAGAGGGACACACAGAATCGGAAACAGGCTCCAGGCTCTGAGCCATCAGCCCAGAGCCTGACGCGGGGCTCGAACTCACGGACCGCGAGATCGTGACCTGGCTGAAGTCGGACGCTTAACCGACTGCGCCACCCAGGCGCCCCTAGGCAGTTAGGTTCTAACAGGATACCTGGAGGCCAGCAAAGAGGAAGTCATGGTCAGCGTTTGGGAAGGCCAGAGGCCTGTCCTCACAGCACTCCTTAAGAAGCCACCAGACAGGCCCAACAAGGCAGGTGCCAAGACAGGAAACCCCTGGCCAAATAAGGAAGAAGAGAGAAAACCTACCAATTCCACTCCAAATAATGAATAAACCACACCCTTGTTAATAGCTGTTGATAAAAATAGAAACCTGAACCGTGGGAAGTTCTCTCTCTCCCTCCCACTCTCACCTCAAGAGTCTACTTTTGTTCAGGTTTAGGAGTGAATGGTCAAAGAATCCTTGAGACATCTTTGGTGCAAAAAGGTGGTTTTATTATGGTACAGGTACAGGGCCCATGGCAGAAAGAGCTGCACTGGGGTCGTGAGGAGTTGCTTTCAAGTTGGGAGAGGGTTAGGGATAGCATAAATCTCTGAGGAATTTGGAAGAAAGGTTTCCAGGACCTTGAGGGGTAGCTGCTGTTAGGAAAAGGTCATTTATTACTGTCTAGTAAAAACTCAGTCATGAGACCCTTCAGATGTGTATCAGGGAGCCATATGCTTGGAGGATGATTGCTAACATATGTCTTGGGGGGTGGGGGGCAGAGAGAAAGGAAATTTCCAAAGGAATTTTTACAGGACACTGGAGGTCGGACTAACATCAGGCTAAAGTTGCCCTTTGTCTCTAGCAAAGTATTAACATCAAGGCAGCTAAGCTCCTTGAGGAAGGTCACTCTGCCTGTCTCAAGTACTTGTCAATGGGCTGTAAGTTGCAAGAAAGTTTAATTTTTTTTTCTTTTGCCTTGTTCTCTACATCACTTTTACTTTAATAAACTTTCCTGCTTGTATCACTCATTCACTGTGATGTGTCTGTCCTCGAATTCTTTCTTGAGACAACCTTTGGTGACATCTTTGGGAGAGGCTGGGTCAAGGCCTCAGGATCCAGGGTTCTCCCCAGCTCACCCAGCAACACAAGAAATTAACTTAATCAAACCAATTATTTAAGCAGTACAAGTGATTAAAAATTGTGACAAAGACACAAGCATGGAAAAATCTGGAGAGGAAGCACAAAAGAGGAGAGTGGGGAAGGACAAGGCTCTTCGTGATGCTTTACTAATGACTATCCCCATTCCAACTTCACCCCAGGCCTTAGTGTCTTTCTGCCATCTTCTTCCCCTAGGGAGCTCTTTCCCTGAAGTTCTATCCACCCTGTGAGGGCTGGCAGAGAGCTCTCTCTGTGAATGTCACTTCTACTTCACTTCCCAATTCCTGAGGCTAGAGTGTCCTACAGGTGGTCCCAGAGGGTCTTTGGGTCTCTTCCCTATGGGATCATTTCCTGCCATCCTCGTTTCTGTTTTCTCAGTCCAAGACACCAAATGATATGTGCAAACTCCTACTGTTATATATGACCATTTCTTTTAATACAAATGTTGGGAGTTGTTGCACATCTATTGAGATGATCATTATCATACCTTGTTCTGAAAGGGAGAACCTTCTCATTGTCCACAGACTAGGGAAGCAGTGGGCTAAGGTGCTCTTCTGTCTAGTCTACTTCATGTGCTGAATTGCAGAAGAGTGCTTCTGAGGTTGTGGCTGGTAAAGGTGAGCCCTGCCTTTTTGAGCCAGGACAGAGGCTAGGCAGGGGTGTGTCCTTGTCTGGCAGATAAACTACATTAAAAACAAAAACAAAAAAATCTAGGATTTGTTGCTAGGTTTGTTTATAGCCCTTTTGTTTTTTTCAAACCCTTAGGAAAGTCTTTTCACATGTTCTAGCTTTATTTCAGAGTAGTGGGAAAATATTTTGCCTCCAAACGAGAGCCCGAGTGGGAGAGTAGCATATCTTGAAGCTAGGTAGTAATCAGCCAGAAAATCAGAAGGGGAGAGTACATCTCTGGCAGAGAGAGCTGGGCCTTTCCAATGTCAGCGCCCCTCCCCACCTGCAGCCCCTCCTTGCAGTGCCTAGCTAGGAGGTCTGGGTTGAATTTATTAAGGAAAGCCTCTGTTAACAGTTCTTCTGTCTTCCTGTGGGGTGGGGACTGGGACAGGCAGGCAGGGCCCCGGTGTCTCTGGGCAGAGAGGTTATGAGAAAGCCTCATAGGAAAGGACAAAAATAATGTACCCATCTCTCCTGGGGAGGAACGGCCCTGTGGCTCTGCCAGCTGTGTGGGTGCGTCCCCTGCTAGTGTGCTGAAGAGAAAAGCCACCAAACAACCACGCTGACTCCAGGGAGGTGTGAGCGCTGCTGCCACAGTCTCTCAGGAGCTATCTGTGAGTTATATTCCCTTCTTTGAGATCTATGCCCTTTTCTCTTCCTGAGATCCATTCTCTCTTTTTCTGCCTCCTTCTCCCTCTCATTCTGTCTTTCTCTGTCTTAATCTCTTGTATACATGTACACACCTTTTCACCCTGTCCCTAGAAATATATTATTGCTCAACCAGCTAGTAGGATAAGCAGGTTAGACTGCATCTGCAAGTTTTTCAAGATTTCTTTAGAGTAGACTTCACCTCAAATCATCCCTGATTACCCAGATTCCAAGTTAATCTCCACTGAAGTCCATTCATTTGTTTGCTTTATTTGAGTGAGTCAGATTATCATGGGACTCACAGTCCAGTGTCTAAAGTTCCGGCTGTGCCCCAGTGCTTGCCCGGATAAGAAGAGGGAGGGGCTGTCTAGACCCGTGGGCACCCACTGGGCCACTACTGCTGCCCTCCCTCTAGGGACTTCTGGTGTATCCTTTCTTGCGGCTGTTCTGGTTCCTGACATTTCAGCTCTAAATGTCTTCTAAGTATCTATCTTCTTGAAGGTAGGAAGTTACATTTTTCTTAGGACCAGAGCCCAAAGAGATTTCTAAATTCCACTGTTTCTGTTTTTGCAGTTCCTTATGTATAATCATACAGAGAATGGTGTCCACCAAAAATACCATTCCCACTGCCAGATAGAAAAGGACGTGAAACCAAACAGGAGTTGGTGTCTGGAGGCCTGAAAAAGAAAATGACAAAGAGAAGAAATGCTACTTAGAACCCAGAGGGATCTGGCTGAGAGTTCTGCTTGGGGGAGAAAGCTAGCTGACACCTGCTATGCCTGTCCCCAGTGGAGGATTGGTCATTTCAGGGGGCAGAGAGGTGCTCTACCTGGGTTATGTGGTGTAACAGACCATGGGCAGCCTCCTCATTACAGCTTAACAGTGAACTTCCTAGTATTATGTGCAATCCACAAAATCCCCATCTCTCCAATTTACTATGTGAGCTCCTGGAAATAAGAATTGCACCCCAGTGTCTTCATATCCCCATACCATGACAATAGATGAGAAGAACTCAATATATTGCTGATCAGACTTTTGGGGTTGAGGGCAGGAATGAGGGGGAAGGAAGGAGAGAGGAGAGAAAATAGAAAATAAAGAAGGAAAGAAGGAAATAAGTGAAGAAAGGAAAGGAAATGAAGTTTATGAGAATAGGGAAGTTATGAATCAAGAGTGGAGGGGTGCCTGGGTGGCTCAATCAGTTAAGTGTCCGACTTCAGCTCAGGGCATGATCTCACAGTCTGTGAATTCGAGCCCCACCTCAGGCTCTGTGCTGACAGCTCAGAGCCTGGAGTCTGCTTCGGATTCTGTGTCTTCCTCTCTCTCTGCCTGTCCCCTGCTCACACTCTGTCTCTCAAAAATAAACAAACATTAAAAACAGAGAGAGAGAGAGAGTGGAAAGGCCTGTTCATGGATTTTTCTTGAGTGGGCCATGAAATCCCCTTAAACAGACCTCAGCCCCAAAGGAGAAAAGGGCACATCTTCCTCTGTGCCTGGAAATTCCCCTTATTCTCACTCACCAAGCACTTGAAGTTCCAGCTCAGGGCTGCGCTTGACAATACTGCCATCTTCTGTGGTAGCCTCACACCAGTATAGCCCTGAATCTTCTCTTTTAGCAGTTAGTATCTGGTATCCAGAGGATGTGTTCCTGCTCATCAGGGTCTTGCTGCCCGTGTAGAAGGAGAAGTAAAGTTGCAAACCAGGTCTCTGTAGGAGCAACTTTGTTTCACAGCTCAGGTTGACCAGATGCCCCTCCAGGAGTGGTAACGACAAGGATGCTTTTAGCACTGGGGCCAGAAATAGCTCTAAAGAAAAAGTTGATGAGGACAGGGTTGCCTGCTTCAGTGTCAAGGTTCTTTTTACAGAAGATATACCCCCTTCCTTCTCAGGAACCCTGCTCCTGGAGAATGCATCCATGGACAATTTGTCCCACTTCCAGCAGAAAGGCATTCTTGGGGTTTCCTCAAAGATATACTTACAGTTACCAGCTTCTTCATTTCCTACTGGGGAGAATACCTTCACACGGTCCATGCTTCCCTGAATAGCCATGTTACTGATTATATGACCGTGCCCTTTTGGTAATTGTTGCCCAGGAGTGGACACTGACCCCCACACTAGCCAGTTCAGTGACTCGTTGCTTGTGTTACTGCCTCAAAAGATAATCTGGGAAAATCCTCTCTTTCCCATAGGAATGAATTATTTTTCAGACAGAAAACAGTTGCTAGTTAGTTAAGTGTACTAACATGAAAGAGTTACCATGAAGGCCATGTGCAAGCTGGAACAGAGGAAACTGCTTAGTTAGCAGATAGATGTTCAGAGAGAAGTAAAACCAGAGAGGCTTCAATGCCCCTGCCAGATAGAAAGTATAATCAAGTCATAATGTCTTCATGGCTTCCATTTCTTTTTTTTTTTTTAATGTTCATTTGTTTTTGACAGAGAGACAGAGCATGAGCAGGGGAGGGGCAGAGAGAGAGGGGGACACAGAATCTGAAGCAGGCTCCAGGCTCTAAGCTGTCAGCACAGAGCCGGACGTGGGGCTCGAACTCACAGACCGCGAGATCATGACCTGAGCTGAAGTCGGATGCTCAACCGACTGAGCCACCCAGGCGCCCCATTCATGGCTTCCATTTCTATGGAGATTTTATGAGATTGCTTTGAGTTATTTTCTAATAACTCTCCCACCCACCTGGAGTGAGTCTCTATTCCTTGCACCTGAAACAAAATTGATGAAATAGATCCTTACTATGCCCTGGCCTTCACTTTAGCTCCTGGGATTACGGATGGGGCGCTGTGGTTTACTGGAAAGAGCAACACACAGACCTAGGAGACTTCAGTTCTGGTCCCGGCCCAGCCACTGGTCATTGCATGGCCTTCAGCGAGGCAGT